ACAGCCATCTTGTTTGCTTGAGATACACCGTCAAGACCATCCTAGACCTAGGCCCTTTACTCGGCTGGCTTTGACAGTTTTGGTGCAATGTGCATGTGACGTCATACTTACCAAATGCTAGCCCAAAATTAACAAAACCTGGCAAAGCCAGCCGAGTAAAGTCGGTCAGGGCTGAATCAAAACATTCTCCTTTTCTATTATCACTGACATTTTCTTGTCCTATTTCCTCATTTTATTGTATTACTTTAATACTGAGTACTTCACTTATTTGAGTTATTATAAAACACCATTTCCTACATTCCGGGAGCAGTTTTAACAAAAAATCAATCTCATAAACAGTGTCAGTGACACATTGACTATAATTTTATAGTCTATCTCACAATTGTACTCCAATCCCAAGAATTACAAATATTCTTGGTCCACATGATCAGGTGCACAATAAAAGAAGTGTTTGTGGTGATATTTGGGACACCCACCCACACTTTAGTTATTGGGGCAGTACTTCGGGTACATCCACGAACTATTGATGTTTAAAGCAGCCATATAGAGCTGGAAATAGAGCCCTTCATCAGAAATTGAATAAATTCCATTCAGTATCTGTTCTCTTTTTGTGAACTTAAAGTCTTTTTTTCACGAAGATGCTAGCTAGTTCAAGGTCGCGGTTGCCCTTGCGCATGCTTAACGCCTGCAGACCCTTGCCGCCTTTGTCATGATATTCTTTATGAAAGAGAAGATATACAATCAGAGTAACATCACAAGCATCATATTCACCTGAGTACATTACACCAACACAGAAAAAAACTTTCCATAGGCATAGTTAAAAATCGCAATAATTAACGACGTGCAAAAAGTTAAGTTATAAAGTTTGGCTGTCTGTCTGTAGCAGCTGCGAAAGGGCACACTCTGACTACGAGATTGGGTTTCAATCTCAATCTCAATTTATTATGTCGGTAAACTTCTGCAAGATCACACCAACTTTGAAAACTAGAGTATATAAATAAACTAATTAAAATATGAACAATGTCAATACATATAAATATGTTTAAAAGGTTCCAAGTTAGCTAAAATTCAATATAATACATTTAAAAATGACTACTTAGTTTCGTTTTGAATTCACCTAATGAACTTGAAAGGACTAGTTCAGATGGTAGCTTATTCCATTCTCTGATAGTTCTTGAGAAATATGAATATTTAAAAACGTCTTTAGTTGCCTTAGGAATTTGGTATTTCAATGGGAGGCTGCCGCGTGTTCTAGATTCTGGGTGTAATTTCAAATACTGCTCGGTGTTAAAATCTACAAGGTTATGACTTATCTTGTACATCATTGTTAATCTTGATTCCACCCTCCTCTCTTCTAATGTCTTCCATCCAAGCGTGTCCAACATACCTGTAACGCTGGCAAGTGGAGCATAGTTCTGCAAGCAGAATTTCGCGCCTTTTCTTTGGACTTTTTCTAGTGTCTTAATGTCTTTCTTGTAGTGTGGGTCCCATGCCTCACAAGCATATTCCAGTTTTGACCTTACCATTATTACAAGCATATTCCCGTTTTGACCTTACGTTTTGTAAACAGTTTCCCTAACGTGTTTTGGACAATTCCAAAAATTTCTTCGTGCCATTCCAAGTAATTTACTGGCTTTACTTGCTGGGTTTGAGACATGCTCCGAGAACTTCATTTTGTTATTTAGGGTGATACTCAGGTAAGCGACCGACTCGACTTGGTCCAACTCTGTGTTACAGAAAGAATATTTCCTTTGCGGAGGGTCTTTTTTGTAAATATGCATAACACTTTACATTTCCCTGGATTGAACTTCATTTGCCATTTCTCTTGCCAGGTTTCCAACTTGCTAAGATCGTCCTGCAATTCATCACTGTTTGAGCTTCCCGAGATTAGGCCGTACCAAAGCGCGTCGTCCGCAAACAATCGAACACCAGAATTAGTAGAATTCAGTGCATTTGGCAAATCGTTGATGTACGAAAGGAACAATAACGGTCCCAAAACAGCGTTTCACTATAGCGTTTCACTAAGCGCTATCGTCGTCGTTTCACTAAGCGCTATCGTCGTCGGGGCAGTCGTCGGGCAAGCTTGAAAAAATATGCATCACAAGCATGCCTCTGGAGTATGGATAAACAGATGCTTGTGCACATTAATAAATAACGTGTCTTAGTATAATGTTTTCCATACGTGCATTGCAGAATGCGTTAAATAATGCTAATACACTTCCCTGTACACGCATTGCAAAATGCTAATACATTTCCCTATTAAAAATTGTTTGCGTTTATATGAGAGGAGGGCCAGCCCTACTGGGCGAGATCCCGCTATTGACAAGGCGAGATCTCGCCTAATAAAGCTGGAAATTTCCCATAGCCTATAAACGCAATAGGAAGAGCTGGCTTTCTTAATAGGGCTGAGTAAAAAAGCCATCGAATCGATTTCAAACTAAACTTTTTAAAGTTTTTTTCGCTTTAAACATGTAGTTCTAAACGAATATTCAAATGTTTGTTGCCGTGTTGGTTTTTATTCCAAAATTTAGTCGGCAAGCTATGATTTTAAATGCCATAATAAAAATGAGTTGCACGGAATGGCGGCTTAAGTGCAAGTTGCGAAAGGATGCCAGCCGGCCCAGCCCTAGCAGGAGGGCTGATTTTTCTCATGTAAACACGCGGTGAAACGATCAGTCCTGCTGCTATTACTGCCGGTGTCTTCGATGTCAGCGCGTTCGAGTGCGTTGATTGGCTAAAATTGGGGAAGTTTTTCTTCTTCAAGGCAATATAATTAATAATTGTGCGTGGGAAGCCGCTTGCGTTGATTGCCAGGAAGTTTGAAAAATGGGGAAGTTTTTTCGTTCGAGTGCGTTGATTGGCTAAAATTGGGAAGTTTTTTTCTTCTTTAATTAAGGTAATAATTGTGCGTGAGCAACAACGGAATTCAGTCCAAGTCAAGTTCGACGGAAAATTATAACTTTCACTTAAGATCTAGGCGCAAGAAACATAAAAGGTATGACTGGTTGTAATCTTGAACGTTCTGTTCCAGGTAGTGTCAATAATAAGAATTTCTGAAAATACAAGGAGAAAATCGACGTTTCGAGCGAAGGAACTATAGTCGCTACTATTTCCCGAGAAAGGGCCTTCGCTCGAAACGTCCGCGAAGTTCTCCTTGTATTTTTCAGGTAGTTGCATCCCTTTTCTTATGGCTGGTTGTGACGTTACGCTGTTTTCAACCTGGCTGTAGTGCCGCAGATTGTACCGAAGTAGTATTTTCGCCATCTAAGCGCCGGTATTTTAATAAATTGCGTGTTAAAGGGTATATTCAATGTTCTGTCAAATTATTCGGGCTGCGAAAGCGTCATTCTAAGTTTTCATATGGAAAACGTGAATGTCTTAAAGTATCTAAAAAAAATTTCGCTTGTCAGTGGGAGCGCTCGCAGTAGGAAGAAAACTAAGTTAGTAATTAGTCTTAAATTTTACTCTATTTTTTTTCTAGCCCTTTTCAAGATGTATTTTGAAAGAAACGTCGTTATTTCGGTGCTTGTCGTTTTAGCCGTCTCCTTCCAAACAGGTGAGAGAATTTCATATTTGCAAAAAGGATAATTTAAGCTAGCCATAGCATAACCGTTTGCCGTGGCTCGTTTAAGCGCCGCCCTCGAGCAAAGAGAACAAAATTATAGGAGATCTAGATTTCTGACTCGTACCTAGGGGCGGAGTATGGCGTCACCTGTATGCTAAATCCAACACCGCGGCTCAACCGGGCAAAAAACCTATAGCTAGTGTTACGAAATCAAGGTTTTTTCAACCTCGTACCCAGGCTATTTTACCTCGACCACGCGCGCGGCTGAGAGGCCCTGAGTACGATCTTGGAATCTTTAACAAGCCTCGGAACTTATTCTCCTGCATTTCAGGATTTTTATGTTATATTTTGTTGCTAATTTTTTTTGTTATCACTTGCAAATACAATATTTTATAAACAGCGCCGCCCTCAAATAACCGGCGCATCCGACGAGTAAATACGGTAATAATGCTTTGTATTTTTATTTCATAGCACAAAGTTTGGATTGCATCAAGTGCGAGTATAACTCCTCTACGCCGAGCGCACAGCAAGTATGCAACAGCAGTGTTGTGGAAACGTGCACTTTATTGTCCACTTACTGTGAATCGTTCGTGTTCATCAAGGGAGATACAACATATTACAACAGAGGATGCTCCACAGTTGTACAGTGTGGTTCCCCTACAACATATTGCAATGCTCTCACAAGTTCATCCAAGACCAAGATCAAGGCGTGCAAGATCACATGCTGTCAATCAAATTCATGCAACAACAATAAGTTTCCATCATTGAGTTATAATGGTGTTGATCATACTAAAGTTGGACAAGCAGCTTTCATCATGGGTCTTGTTACAGCCATCTTGTTTGCTTCTTCATGAGATACACCGTGAAGACCAACAACCTAGACCTAGGCCCTTTACTCGGCTGACTTTGGCAGTTTTGGCATAGAGATTATAAATAACACTAGAGGAGTAAAAAAAAGGGAACGCGACTATTGGGGGGCAAATTCAAGTCCCGGATGTGTATTCGTGTTCCCATTGGTGACGAGTTTCAAATCAGCCAATAAGAGCACGATTTTATATCCGGGACTTGAATTTGCCCCCCATTAGCTGCGTTCCCAATTTTTAAACTCGATGCCTCCTCTAGTGTTATTTATAATCTCTATGAGTTTTGGTGCAATGTACATGTGACGTCATGCTAGCCCAAAATTGACAAAACCTGGCAAAGCCAGCCGAGTGAAGTCGGTCAGGGCTGCATCAAAACATTCTCTTTTTCTATTATCACTGACATTTTCTTGTCCTATTTCCTTATTTTATTGTATTGTATTACTTTTTTAGAGTACTTCACTTATTTGAGTTATTATAAAACACCATTAGGTTACTCTTTATTATTATTCATGCAAAATCTTTGTATGTATTAAACTTTATTAGTAAACTGCAAGTCGTGTGCTTTTTAATGTCTTGAATACATTTAATTAATTCCAGGCCCGTAGTTTTAGATCAGTGAGCGGCATATAGATCTGGAGTGAGAACTCAAGTCCAAAAATGAAGCCGACTGAGATGCAGTGATTGGACGTGAGTTCCAGTCCCAATTTCTATTGTTCTTGTCCGCGTGATTAACAACAAAACTGGCATTCCGTATTTTTCGAAGACGTGAGAAACCTCTGGGGAGGTCGGGGGGGGGGGTCATATTTCTCCACCCGCAGTTGTTTTTATTTTCGAAGGGTTTTAAAGGTTATTTCCTACATTCTGGGGGCAGTTTTAACAAAAATCAAACGCATAAACAGTGACACATTGACTATAATTTTATAGTCTATCTCACAATTGTACTCCAATCCTACGAATGATTGATGTTTAAAGGTCCGTTTACATTTGCAATTTCTGCTGCGATTTTCTTCTTCTGATGGATGTGAACGAGTGGATAAGTTATGAAGTGGATGAGTTACTCGTTCACATCCTTCAGAAGAAGAAAATCGCGCTAAAAATCGCGTAAAATGGGCCTAAAGCAGCTGGAAATAGAAGACATTCGTCAGAAATTGAATACACTCCATTGAGTATGTGTTCTCTTTTTGTGAGATTAAAGTCTTTTTTTCACGAAAATGCTTACCTGAAGTCAGCTGACTCGCTGGGCTCACAGCTGGTTCAAGGTCGCGGTTGCCCTTGCGCATGCGCGTGCTTAACGCCTACACACCCTTGCCGCCTTTGTATTAATATTCTTTATCAAAGAGACGACTGCCCAGACAAGTTAGGGACGATAGCGCTTAGTGAAACCTAATTGTAGAAGGCAGGGTGTCCACCCTTTGGTAAAGGTGAAATTCAAGGACTTTTACAGGACTTTCAAGGCCCTTTTTCAGTAAATTCAAGGACCTAGAACTGGGAAAAATCTTTGAAAATGGCACGGATTTGCCGTAAATAATTCAATTTATTCAGTAATTTTAATCAAAATCACTAATGTTGGCACAGCTGGAGGTTAACGAAATTAATTCCAGGACTTCTACTGATTTTCAAGGACTTTCCAGTCCTGGAATTTTTTTTCCAATTCAAGGACTTTCCAGGATTTTCAAGGCCCGTGAACACCCTGAGAAGGGTTTTGTAGATGGACATTTTTCGAGTGTGAATTTTCGATAGAATTTTGGAGTGAAAAGTCAGGATACTGAAACTTTTTTTTTCAACTATATTTCAATTTTCAACTTTTTACAAAATGAAATTTGTGAATAAAACTCACAGGTAACGTATCAAACACGGTTATTAATGCCTAAGCATTCTCCAACTTGGGAAAAGGAAACTTCGCAAGTCCATTGTAAATAAAGGTTGAACTGGTCTTCTTTTCATCGAACCATTCATGCTTACTCAATATTGCCCACTCTGTTTCCATCACCATACCCATGTGCGTGCTCAGCTCAATACAACGTGGAAGTAAACGACCCTTTGCTTTACTAAACTTTCCTCGTAGCAAGCTAAAGTACGCCTTCAGATGGTAGTAACGTGGTTTCAACACCACAAAACGGTTGCAGATTTGGGACAGCTGCTTTAAAGCCTAAACAGAACGAAGTACAGTGTTCAGTTGGGCTTCGGTGGCCCTCCAGGGGCCTTTCACTTCTGAGACAGTGGGTTCGCTTTTCGCTTCGCACTCATGTAAAAAGAGTCAGTCAACGTTCTGCCGACAGTCATGGGTTTTCTTCAGGTGCTCTGTTTCCACCCACAGGCAAGGGTGGGTTGACTACACAATTTTTGTAGTTCGCTATAACTACAGCTACTTCAAAAATATGTAGTCAGCTACAACTACTGCTACTTTTGAACAAAAGTAGTTCGCTACTGACTACAGCTACTGCTTAGAAAATGTAGCGAACTATTTCGCTATTTCGCTACACTATATTTTTAGTTTTACTATATTTGGAGCATCTACTAAGTACTAACTCAGGCTGTAATGTAATCTATAACAAATTGACTTACGAGTAGCAACAGTAAACACAAAGCAACATTTTTGTAAGCACTACAGTGTTCAAGAGTGCAAATTGACTATTGAGTATTGATTTTAAGAAAACCGTGTCTCAATATCATGCTATTCTATCAAGTTGCTAACAATTTTAAAAAGTAGCGAATAGCGATTCGCTGTTTGAAAAGTAGTCAACTACTTGGCTACTTTTAGGCAAAATGTAGTTCGCTATAACTACAACTACTGTTTTAAAAAAGTAGTCAAAAACTACTGGCTACTTGAAAATTGTAGTTCGCTACAGTAGCGAACTACAACTACTTCGCTACAACCCACCCTTGCCCACAGGGCAACTAAGTTGACAGCAGGGTGTTAGCCAGGTGGCCGTCCGACCGTCCTATGGACGGCCACTTCTGAATTCGGACGGCTAAATTTTAATGGACGGCCATGGACGGCCTAAGGGAATATTTTCTTTAAATAGCAATTTACAAGCTTTGTAATATTTCTTGAATACTTCGAATTGTTGTCATCTGCTGTTTACTTTACTTATGGCATATGTTTTTTATATTTTTTCCCGTCGAAAACACGTTGAATATGGCTGAATTGAAGTATCGACAAACGCTATCGCTCGAGCGCCACATGCTTTAGAGTTATACTTACGGTAAAGATGGCTACAAAATGAGCCAAACGCATAAAAAAGGGGAAAAATATCGGTGATTGATAAAAATAACTAAACACTACACTGCTGTATTGCGTTCTTCATTATAGCATATACTGTACATCGTAGTGATCATACGGTTCATACCATACGTGTGCTTTTACTAATTTAATAACGGAAATGTGTATCTAAAACTAAAAGTAAAAAGGTTCAATGAATAGAACACCACAATTCCACAACAACAAAAAATTGCGGCCACGCCCAAAAACATGTGGCCACGCCCACAATATTATTTTGGACGGCCACTTTCGAAATCCTGGCTAAAACCCTGGTTGACAGGGTGGGTTAGGATAAACATAGTTAAGAAAGTAATATCACAATTGTTGTAAAGATAAAATACACGGCAACAGGATTGAACAATGTTTTGCTGCCCACGTTGTTCACACTTGTCAACAATATTGAACAATATTGTTGAGCCTGAATCGGGTGTATAACAACATTGTTCAATATTGTTGACAGCTGTGAACAATGTGGGCAACAAAGCATTGTTCAATCCTGTTTTCATCAATATTGCATCAACCTGAGCGTTTTTACGCGTGTAGTCTAGGCTAAGTACACGCGTAAAAACGCTCAGGTTGATGCAATACTGATGAAAACAGGATTGAACAATGTTTTGCTGCCCACATTGTTCATAGCTGTCAACAATATTGAACAATGTTGTTACACCCGATTCAGGCTCAACAATACTGTTCAATATTGTTGACAAGTGTGAACAACGTGGGCAGCAAAACATTGTTCAATCATGTTGAGCAGCGGGCTCAGCGTTTTTTGCCGTGTATGCAATTAGGTAAGTGTATAATACTTGATGTAAAGCGCATTTGATCCGATATCCACATGCAAATTTGAACCTAGGTTTTGTTACCTTGTGCCATACAGATTACTTTTAGTTGCCAGTTGATGTGCGCAATAAACAACTTAAATTGTGTTAGTTACCTCTCGACAATCCTTTCGCAAGACTTTATTGCCATGATTCTTTCTGAACAGTAGTAAATGATACTCAACAATTTTGACAAACCCCCTGGCCGCCATCACCACTTCGAATCCAGCTGGTTTTGTCACTGTAGAAGAAAACGGTCAACTTTGATTATTGACTGAGAATGTTTAACGTTGCTGGCAGAGTATCGGGGTATTTGCGGTACAATATCGTTAGTGCATGTCTTGATTCCTGCAATATGCAGTTGCATGATTACAATTTCGCGTCAGTCGCATGCGAGAAGAGTTGCATCAGTTGAAGGCATAGATATGGTTGAAGGCGAACTTCCATTTCTCTTACTAATAAACATTAATATCATGCATGAATCTGCCCAACTTAACACTGGTGGGGGACTTCAACCTCCCCCGCCCCTCAGCCCCTCCCTCTCGTACACGTATAGTTTTCACCAAATAACTGACTTTGTTACCTTTCACGCAATTAAATATTTTCTCAGCTTGTTCCCACTCTTCACAACGTGCGTGCCTAAATCAACAATTAACATTTGTTTAACAGTTACGCCCACCATCTTGCTCGATTAATTTGACTAAGTTCTTTCTTGGAAAGAGATAAGCTAATAAGACTAGCTATCGATTTAAGCTTGATTTAAACAATTACACCCAATACCTATATCAAAATAACTCACCAAAGGAGTAAAGAAGCATTAAGATAATATTTGACGATCAAATCCCAAGTAAGACGAGGATCTGTTGAAGTTTGAACGGTAAACTGAAGACAATCATCAAGACTCTCCAGTATATGACCTAGAATGACAAGACTATAATTCTCCTAAATATACTTGGGGGTGAGCTCAGTTGCGCACTACCATGGCGGTAAAACCTGCCGCATACGAGAGAAACTTGCTGAGATATAAACAGCCTCGTGTGGCAGTTAGCTCAACTTTGCACTTTCACCGCACACGCTGGGAAAACTGCTCATCAGCAACGCCGTTGATAACTAGATCGTTTGCATTTCCCTCAATTGTCGCCATTTTGGCCAAAGTCACGTAAAGAAACGATGGGTTCTCTCTGGCTAGTTTACTCAAGCAGCTCAAGTGAGTTAATTCAAGCAGGTGAAAAGCATCAAACACGATAGATATTTTCCTCAAAGGAGGTTAAATCCACACGAAAGCTATCCGCACACGCGAGGGGGTTTACTCAGCAAGTTGCTCTCGTGTGCGGCAGGCTTGAGAGCGCGTCATTTGGATGAATACATCGTCTGCGGTAGAACTACACACGTCACTGGCCGGACTCACCTGTTTCCAAGATTAGATCAAAGCAGTTACAGAAGTACAAAGCTCGACCATGCAGATCATCTTTCTCTCGAGCAGCGTAGTTTAACTCTTTTAAAACATCAAAACATTCGTCGATTCTATATCAAAATAACGCAATAATATATATTTCAAACATAGACTATTCTACAACAAGCTGCTGTGGTATGCAATTGTGTCTGAACTACTAGAATAAGATATCTCAAGCGTTCGTACTTTACTACAATAAGCTGTTGAGGTTCGTGTCTGAACTAAAAAATATATGCGAAAGCCATGAGACAAAGGAGTCGATTTCTAGATTAGAGAGGTTCAGAGTTTGACTTCCATTACCAAGTACCATTAACCAATCAGATAGATCTAATCTACCCGATTAACGAATCAAATGCGCATTAAGGCTGCAGATACATCTGCCCAATCAGCCCGATTAACCAATCAAATGCGCATTAAGGCTGTGAGAGGTACCTCAGCAATCTAGCTGTAATCCTCATCTTGATCCTAACCTAAGTACCTAACCTCAACTCCAATCCTAATACAATGTGACGTCATTTCGAAACATATGGAATGTCACCTGTTGGTAATATTTTTCAGGTCATCCAGACACACATATAATATGTACCAACTGCCATATCATTTGATTCATACACATCCAAGCATATGTTATTTTACCCACCTTGACATGAGAATCAAACATTGAGCTAGCGAAGGGATACAGTTAATTTTCAACATGTGATCATTTAGTTTGTTGGCGAGCGTCAACGACTCCAAACCTGGGGTAACATAAAACAAACATTTTTTTAATACAGTTGAACGTTAACAAACATTTTCGCACGTAATTCATCAACGTACAGTTATTCGAGTGAAAATACCAGGGATGGAAAAAATATTTTATATTCCGGCACCGCAGGAGATGAGAATTTTTCTGGGACCAAAGATAGCTCAATCACGAAAACGTAACAAACAAACAAACAAACAAACAAACAAACAAACAAACAAACAAACAAACAAACAAACAAACAAACAAACAAACAAACAAACAAACAAACAAACAAACAAACAAACAAACAAACAAACAAACAAACAAACAAACAAACAA